CATGGCAAATGCTATGACAGGTGACTCAGCTCTTGGGGAAGCTTAGTTTTTTCTTTTACTTTACTTTATTTAGAGGACAAAATGTCTACATGTTAAGCAGTTGATACAAGAAGTAACTATTCTCCAAGCTTTCTAATTTCCACTTTCACTTTCAGTATGACACTGTTGGAATTGCACTGAGCATCATTATTATGCGTAGGCTGGACACTGTGAAGCCTAAACCAGAGTAGCAGGACAGAGAACGCTTTCATACAGATTTTGTTTACAACTGTTGTCATTTCAAATCAGATGCATCCCAAATATGTTGGGGGATGGGGCCAAATGTTATCCTCAGACAAATTTGTTTGGCCCTCATTTGTCCAGGTGAATTGGTCCCAATGATCAAAATTATTTAAAAATTAATTAATTTAAATTCATTACCCCTACAACCTTAATAACACCACACTGCAATGTGATAGAGACTTAAAATTAATGTTTTAAGAGGCTTGTTAAAGTTTCTGTAATTATATTTTAATATGAATATGAAGTGTTTAAAGCAAATATATGCAGATATTCTTTTGCAAGTTATTTATTGTTCACTCAAATTATTCCAAATTATATTCACGGATGTGTTTTTCCAAATTTGCCAGGTGGTTTGATAAGTCCTTCTCCATTGTGATTTACAAGAATGGAAAGAATGGTTTGAATGCCGAGCACTCCTGGGCCGACGCGCCCACAGTGGCTCATCTCTGGGAGGTATGTTTATATTAAGATCACATTGTATTCTGCTCTGGATGCACATGTATATGCCCACAATAAGGTGACTTTGACATATGCTTACTGCTCAGCCTATTTGTGAACGTTGCCTTTTCTACAGTCATTGAATACAAGTAAAAATTATCTGTAATTCCCATTTTTAATCATTAGATTTACACTCATGTAGAGCCAAATCCAAACATCCAAATTCGAGACATGTGTTATCTTAGCCGAAAATGCCGAGTCTTGGATACATTATTGTGGAGCTGAATTAATGATAGAAAACGTGCACGAACGAAGGGGCTATTTTGTGTTGAAGTTTTACAACTGGACAACTAAAGAACAGTTTAGCTTATTACTCATGATTATTAAAAACAGTCTTATTTTAGCTTACATTAAAATTCTTAAAAATGTCTGGAACAGCGTAATTATTAGGCTTGAATTAGTAGACTTGTGCCCTTTTACTTTGCATCACTTTTAAAGCATGATTGCAGAAACTAGAACTGTCTGTCCTCTGCAGATATTTTATGTCTGTCTTTCTAACGTTTCCAAATATCCCTAAAGTTTTTGCTCTTGTCGTCTTGATAAATCAAGCAGCGCCTGCTTAATTAGTTCATATGCATTTTCTCCTCCTCATTTGATTTCAGGAGAAAAATTTGCACAGCTTCTGTAAAGCGTCGATAAGAGATGCCAGTCTCACTGCTTAGTGCTTCCACTTTTAGCGTGTCCAGTACATTTATTATGTGCGCAAACAGTTAATATACCCCTGATCATAGTCCATATACCAACAGCTGGTTTATATTTATCAAACCCACACCCGAATATGTCAGTTGATGTCTTTGGCCAAAACAGCCAGAAATAATAATGTAAATAAGGGCTTTATCTTATTGACCTCATCTGAAATTTACTGAGTCCATCAAGTTGAAAATGTCTGTGTGTCTTCAGTTCACATTGGCCACAGATGCGTTCCAGTTGGGCTACACCGAGGATGGACACTGTAAGGGTGAGGTTGACCGCTCCCTCCCATCTCCTCAAAGGCTCCTGTGGGACATCCCGGCTGAGGTAAAGCACATGCCTTCAAAGTAATTCTAATTAACATGTGTATGAACCAGCTCAACCAAGGGCAAGCTTGAAACAATTTTTACTATAACAATTAAATCCATTACATGGAAAGCAGAGACAATACTAGGATATTCACAGACAAAGCTAGGAATCCAGGAATTCTGCTGCTCTTCCCGGGTCTTTCCATAGAAATCTCATATGGAGACCTGGTGGTGCTGGCTTTGCAGGGCAGGTGATGAGGTGCTGTGTTGTATGAGATGTTTGGCTGCACACAAGCTAAAAAGGCTGGTCAGGCTAAAAAGGAATTATTCTGCCTCAATAAAATACACACAATCCATATTTTGAAAGACTGTTTTCTGCACTTTTTAATTAGTTAGATTAATCATTTGTAAAATAATAAAAAGCGCTGTTGGCATAACCTTAAATGAACAGCAAAAAACTGGAGTTTTCCACTCTCTTCATGAATCATTGTTTATCTTTGCATACCTCCTATAAATAATTGACCTTTAAATAAAATGTTTCCGTGGTACTAAGAGTGTACCTCTAGTCACATGCCATAGCAGATAGACAGGGGGAGAAACAGTTTTTTAATTGAATCATGTTTGAGATATCAGACATTAAATTCTTGACATGTCATTGATGATTTGTAAAAGTAGAAAAGCTTGAAGTGCGTAGGACAGGTTTTCATGTTTTTGTAATTATTACGTGGTTAGGTTGAAATAAATATTTATCCCTAGGTTTTTGAGTTTTATCTCAAGTAGCAGTTTGTGGAGAAAGGTTAAGAAAAGCACAAAAATACAAAAAAAAAGTAAAAACGAAGTAGCAGTGAGTTCTAAAAATTTTATTAAACTATGTACAGCTATTGAATCACCTCTACTTATTTCACATCTGCTGCCCATGTCCAACTAGGAAGTTCAACTCACCCAAAAATATTCTTTCTGGATTTCTCTAACTTACAAATATATATATATAAAAAAAAAAAATACATTGTCCTTTGTAGTAATTTTTATTTTGAATAATTGCTTTTGTGCTGGAGTTCTGAGAGACATAGTTGAACATAGGTTCAACATTTAGCTTCAACATTTATATGCACATTTGAGTTCACAAAAAATCGCTGGGAGTGTAAGGCTATTTTTGACTGGCCTATGGTGTCAGTTGTAATCACATGTCACTGAACTACAGGGATAAACTGCCTGCATCTGTGTGCAGCTTTGTGAATCAGCTGGAGAATAAGTGCACGGAGGAAGTTCAGATTGTAATGGCATTTGCTCCTCTGACGCGCCTTTGACGCAGGTCATAGATCGGACCTGGACATTGTACAGCTCCCAGGCCTCATCAGGGAGTCAGCCTTTGGTTGACTCTGATCGGCCTGTTTAAGATAATTTAAAATTACAAAATTAACATATTTTATAATTTTATCTCATGCAGGGACTGAAGCTGCATTTCCTTTATTATAGAGTTTTTTTTTATAGAGTTTTTTTAATGATATATTTTATAAGGCAACCTCACTTTTTCATTGCTTAGTCATATATAAACTCTTACCAGTCTTACCAGCTTGCCAAAACAATGTTATTTACTGCTTTTAATAAAGAAATACAATTAATATTATGCAGAATAGTTTAGCATTTTGGCCCGGCCCTTCAGATTATTTTCTGTTTCATGTGGCCCCATGGAAAAAATAATTGCCCACCCCTGTCATAGACCATCACACATGCTTGTCTGCTGTTAACTGTGCAGTGAAGTTATACGATGCATGTAGTGTATGTGAAACTCGGTAATGAAGAGGTTAATTTCACAGGCGTGTTTGTGTTTATTGTCTTTAAAAATAAAGAGGAAAAGATTACTTGAGTTCAAAAGTGGAAAGGAAATGGCTCTCCCTTCCGCAGCTAAAAATTGTGGAGCCAGTGAAATCACAACACATGGCTGCATAAAGGCCAGTTTTACTTATTGTATTCTTTATAATGTTCTGTGTATACATTTTGTCTGTATTTAAGCTAAAACATCAAACCCTTTTTTCTCTGCAGGTTCAGACGCAAATTTGCAAGTCCCTCACTGTGGCCCAAAACCTGGCAGATGATGTAGACTGCCATGTGTTCCCCTTCCGAGAGTTTGGGAAAGGACGGGTAAAGAAACTGCGCATAAGCCCGGACGCCTTCATCCAAATCAGCCTGCAGCTTGCTTACTACAGGGTACTTTTCCCACACAGAGGGGAGGGGTTTGTGTGTGGAATGAGGAGAATCTTCCTAACACCTATCACTACCGAAACTCACTTATCAGATCTGCAGTATTTATATTTAAGGAGTATGTTTATTACATTTTATAGTATTTTTTGTCAACATTTGCAAGGAAACAGTCCTCAGTTTCCTCGGGCAATTTCAGATATGTTTTTATTTTGTTAACTTTATTAATCCTAATATATGTAGTAATCTTAATGCTTGACCCACATACGTATGTAGAGTGTTTTTATGGAGTGTAGGAAAATTAACAGGAAGGGGTTCAGGGGTAAAATGGGCTTCCTGAGATAGAAGACTTGCATGAAATAACATAAATCAAGAGTTAATGATATGCTAAATATTTTCCATGTCATTTAAATATAATGTTGAGTGGATACTATAAGAACAATAAGAGCATGAAGATATTGATGTTGCAATTGTTTGGACTTAAATTGATATCTTTTCTACTTCCAGGACCGCGGTGGTTTTTGTCTGACTTATGAGGCATCCATGACTCGTTTGTTCAGAGAAGGCCGCACAGAGACGGTCCGTTCCTGCTCCAATGAGACATGTGCCTTTGTCAGAGCACTGGAGGGGGGAGAGGTACGCAAAAAATATACTACTCAACATGATTCTTACTGTGTGCACCCTACTTTATTTTCCTTAGGGCTAGGTGATAAGGCAATTTTTTTTTTTTTAGAATGCTTTTCCCCCTGAAATTCCAAGTCTTTTTTGTTTTCATTTGTTTGTGTCTCAGTCAAACGTCTCAGTGCAGTTTAACAGTAAGACTGGTCAGGCATTTTGTGTCCTTTGAAATGTACCTACTGCACTTCTTACTTGGTTAAAATCCTATGGTGTTAAAAACTGAGCTAAAAAAATTAAAAAACTGCTCAGTGTGGGAGCAAGGCAATCACTCCGCTGCCATGAGAATGTACCATGGCTTTCAGCTGTAGCTAGGGCACTTACTGAGCTGACAGTAAGTGACATTTTTCTGGCCATTTCTCTAAAATTGTGTGCACATACAAAGCGTCAAATCACAGCGCTGACACATTTGCACTAATTAGACTCTATTCGCAAGGCAAACATCGCTCCTTACGCCATAGAAGGGAAGTCTGATGAAAGCACGAGCAGGCAGTACGCAGCATGTGTGAGAGTGGAGAGCAGAGGGGAGACGAGGACGTGCAGTCGGGGAGGCAGATGCTTCACCTGTCCTTTTGGGAATAAAGAACTGCTTAGTGTCAGAAGAAATAAAATGCTGATCTCTACAGTTGTACTTTTCTGTATTGATAGTCAGTGGAGCAGTGCAGACGCCTTCTCCAGCTGGCATCCGAAGGGCATCAGAACCTGTATCGCATGGCCATGACAGGAGCAGGCATCGACAGACACCTCTTCTGCCTTTACGTGGTCTCAAAATATCTGGGCGTGGACTCACCTTTCCTCAAAGAAGTAAAGCTATATCTCGATTTTATTTTCTTGTAAATGCAATATTAGTTCACAGTTTTGATGCTGATGGTGTTTTCATGATACAAACTTAATATTGGTTTAATACTCAATATTGGTTTTGATACCGCAGTAAGAATAAAAGTATACTTATTTACACAATACAATGGAATTTTCAACACAAAATAGTAGTAGTTTCTCTGTTTATGTGATTTTATTTTCTAGATTTAATATCATTTGCTATCTTGGTATCAGTATTTTTGACTCTCCTTGTTATTATCAAATTCACATATGCAAATAAAAGAGTTTTAATGAGAACTCACTATACTTTAGCTACTGTGTACTTGTTCATGCCTGCAGGAAATTTCTTTTTGTTCTGTTTGTGAGTTTATAAATCCTGTGCTGTCGTTCTTTATGCAGGTTTTGTCAGAGCCCTGGCGTCTTTCCACCAGCCAAACCCCCATACAGCAGATTGAACTGTTTGACCTCAAAAACAATCCTGATTACATTTCCCTGGGAGGCGGGTTTGGGCCTGTGAGTTGCTTTATTTTTTGATTCATGTGTAAAGTGTTTATTCAATTTTGATATTGTCTGATAAATTGTGTGGAGCTGGTGGAGTTCTTATAGTTGGGTTTAAGTTTAGATTAAGGTTAATAGTAGATCCCGACCGATATATCGGCTGGCCGATATTATCGGCCAATATGGGCACCTGGAGACATATCGGCTATCGGCCGATATGCTTGCTGATATGGGCCGATATTTCACGTGGGCATGTTATACCTCGTTATAAAGCTTAGACTCTCTACATTATGTTCATTTAATCCAATTTAGAGACAGATAAATGTCCTAATATGTGGCTCCGCATCAGTATTTATCTGCGGTGTAATTTGTCTGTGTCCGTACTGTCCCTGAACACACCACCAGAGTGACGTCACTTCACTCACGTGTGTTGTTTACACCCACAGCCGTGTGCAACACTGAGATTATTTTCTTTTTACGGACAATCGGTTTGAGTCTGGATTAAAAGGACATTTATTAGTGCAGACTTGTGATGTGAGGAGGAGCCTGTGTGAGCGGTGAGTGTTGGAAATACATCGACTTTGAAGCTAGTTTAGGTTTTGTTAGCGATTAGCTGCTGTAGCTCTCACACATAAACAGTCTGTTTTCTATTGGTCTATTGTAAAGTGACTATATTGGCCGTATATTTGTTACTGGACCTGCATTGATATGTTAATGACCTGTGAATAGACGTGTGAATGATCCACATTTATGCATATAATTAAGGATGGAGCGTGAGATTGACAGGCGGATCGGTGCAGCTTCAGCAGTGATGCGGTCGCTGTATCGGACCGTTGTGGTGAAGAGGGAGCTGAGCCGAAAGGCAAAGCTCTCGATTTACCGGTCAGTCTTCGTTCCCACCCTCACCTATGGTCATGAGCTCTGGGTAATGACCGAAAGGACAAGATCGCGGATACAAGCGGCCGAAATGAGTTTCCTCCGCAGGGTGGCTGGGCGCTCCCTTAGAGACAGGGTGAGGAGCTCAGTCACACGGGAGGAGCTCGGAGTAGAGCCGCTGCTCCTTCACGTTGAGAGGAGCCAGTTGAGGTGGCTCGGGCATCTTTTTCGGATGCCTCCTGGGCGCCTCCCTCGGGAGGTGTTCTGGGCATGTCCCACTGGGAGGAGGCCCCGGGGAAGACCCAGGACACGCTGGAGGGACTATGTTTCTCGGCTGGCCTGGGAACGCCTTGGGGTTCCCCCAGAAGAGTTGGAGGAAGTGTGCGTGGAAAGGGAGGTCTGGGAGTCCCTGCTTAGACTGCTGCCTCCGCGACCCGGCCCCGGATAAGCGGAAGAAAATGGAATGGAATGGAATTAATTACCGCGGTGCGCACATTTTTACGGCTAAAGGCTAATAGCGGTAGTTTATTTACTAGCTAGGAGTTATGGGTCGGTCGCGATCGAAGCGGCTCTTAGAGCCGGCTCTTTGAAGAGCATGTTTCTTATTGGGAGCCGTGTTTTCTCTTTTTCTCACTTTTTCTCTTCATGCCGCATGTAGACCCGTAGTTTGACAGCAGCAGCGGCTGAAAACGAAACTTTCAGAAATCTGCGTGTGCATAGGATAAAAAAAAGTGCATATTTGGCTGCAGTTCAGCATAAAATGAATAAAAAGGACTAATCTTGGGCTCGAGTGCAGGAGAGAGATAGAAACCGAGTCCCGACACTCAGTCCTGGTTCAGTTCTGGTTTAGTCCTGCTTGCAACAAAACAATCTCAAGAGTCGCTTGGGAGCCGAAAGAGCCAGCTGCTTTAGTGAGCCGAGCCAAAAGAGCCGGTTCTCCAAAAAAAAAAAAAAAACGGAATACCCATCACTATTAGCTAGAATGTGATGCAAAAATGCCATTAGGCCAATCTACTGTATGTAAATATGATGTACAGAGTCAAAATAATAATAAATGTTGCCTAAATAAACCCAATTTAGAATCCACTAGAGCCAAACCTAAGTTTTTTTATCAATTCAAGATTTACAGTGAATTTTTACATCACTAAATATATCGGTGTTTATATCGGCTATCGGCAGCTCCAACTCCCATTATATCGGTTTCATATCGGCCACAACAAAATCCATATCGGTCGGGCTCTAGTTAATAGGCATACTTTAGTATCCCTCAGTTGTTCTCATCAATGATATTGTTACTAGGCTTGGTCAGGATTACCTGGAGGAAACGAGAGAGGAAGCACAGTCACCCAAATATGTAAACTCTGCACAGAAAGGGCAACCCAAAGCCTAAAATGAATATAATTTAGTTTTTATATATTTAGGTCAGGTCTCTAATAGAAATTATCAGGTTCAACATTTGTGAATTTACCTATTGAATATTTCATGCCAACGTGGGGTATGACAGTAGCATATTTTAGAATCTAAAAACCATCAGTAAGGACGCTTTTGATCTGTTTGTCTTGCCAGGTTGCTGATGATGGGTACGGAGTGTCATATATTATTGTTGGAGAAGATATGATCAACTTTCATGTTTCATCAAAGCATTCCTGCAAGGAGACAGTAAGTCAACATGATACGTGAGCAAGGAAGCTGAAAATTAGCCCTCAAGTCATGAATGTGTGTGTTTTATGGAATCTTACAAATCGTATCTTCATTTTATCTCAGTAGATTCTAGCTTCTTCTTGCCTTGTAAAATGCACTTTATATACTTTTTCAAAGCCTCATAAAAGCACTAATGTAGTTATTATTCTTTCCACATTCCATATCAGACTGACAAAAGCGATCAGAGCCTCAAGGCACCTGCTCACCACATTCATACTGGGCTGTGTTTTTACAGTTTACAATTTACAGTTGTTAGGCTCCTGCTGGTGTGTTTCACTGTTCAAACCGAAGCGTATCAATGACTTCAATGCATTGCTTTTAGTTTGAGTTTTTTCTTATTCAAGTTCTACCTAAAGAACTTCTCATATTCACCATTCATTTTTTTATTCCCCTTTTAGGACTCTCATAGGTTTGGTGCTCAGACACAAGGCTCTACAGGACATTATGACGCTCATGTCGGCTGAACCTAAATCTACAGCTGCATTCAGAGGAACATCCCAGCCCAAGAAGCAGCTGTGAAGAGGTCACCAGTTACTTGTGTCATATGGGTTTATTTACTCTATGTCCAAGGTACTAGATTCAACACATAATAGCAAAGATGCACCACTTTCTATGGAAGTATAATTCCTAAATGTCCATAAAACATCCCTGCTGTTTGATAATATTCTACAGCTTGTAATCTAGCTTTAAATTAAAACCTGTTCTGAATCAGATACATATACAGGATTTCATTATTGATACTTTGCAGCGACATCAGACTGGGGGGGTCTATATGTATGTATATGGCAGAATGTTCATGGTGACACAATTTGCACATGAGCACATACTGCCAAAACAGTTTTAAAATAGTATGTAACTCAAGAAAAAATACAAAATGAATTTAAACAACACATTTTAACAGTTGGCGAACCCTATCGATCTTGTGACAGTAATGTTATTGGAGAGCGACTTGTTTAACAGCACAAATTAGCTCATTTGTTGTAGTTCCAGCAGCAAGTCTGTTCTTTATGGTCAAATTGTGATTAAAGTCTAACTTTGATAATTGAGCCTCAGACAGAGCAGTGCCTACATTAGCATCACATCCCCAGGGGAGTTTGATGACATTAGCTGTAAAATGTCAATTAGTTTAGTACATTGGACCAATTATTCAATTTGCTTCAAATTTTTATAATATGAATGGATGTTTAATTGGAAATACTGCAAACATGAAATGTTTACACTCTATATCAAGGGACATTCAGGTTACCAACATAACAAGGCATAGTATATTAAGTATGCAAGTTTATAACATTTAAAACTTCATTTTAAATAGATTGCAACTACATGATATGGGAAAGAACTTCATCCCAAAATGAAAGTAGGTGCAAACTACTGTAGTAAAGAACATGTTTAATTATTATTTTTTTTTGCATAAGAGCATTGTGTACATAATTTTAGTTTTGGGTGTATATTGTTATAAAATTGTACTTTTTATCCAGTTTAAAGGGGCACTATGTAAGACCACAACAAAGAAAGCACAAGCTGGTGATGAACCCTCCACCAGAAGACATACTCAGTGCACCTTTAAAAGTCTGATGAATGACTTATCAATTTGCTCCCATACAATGGCATTTGCCAGTAAACAAGTTCATGTTACATTCACTTTGCCCAAAATCAAAAGACTAGACACTCAGAGAGTGAAAGATGACATAAAGGAAGCTCTGTGCTTAAATTAAATTACAATTACACTGTTGGAAATACATTCAAACATGTTCTTGGCTTGAAATCCAATTTGTGCGGCTATAATAAAATTGAAACATGAAAAGTCAGATGGGTATAATAGTATAACATGTATATAATGGTGGTGTTGTGTTTTATACAGTGCAGGGAGGAGAAGAGAGAAGGCTTATGCTTCTTTGTTTTAGTCTTAAACTTTTAACATTGTGTGCAAGTTTGTTTTAATCTATTATTACTTACTGCTCAAATCATGTCTAGACTTCCTTGTTTAAACTGAAAGGCACCTCTCAGCAGTGCTTGGTACTTTCCCCTCTGCATTTCCTTTCGCTATCAAGCTTAACAGTGACCACCCACCCCCGGTTCTGTAATACAATTTTCAATTCAAAATGTCATGGACTTTCCGAAAAAAAATATTTTTGGAAAGTTTGCTCATTACTAATGACTACAAAATCTATAATTTTATTTAAAATCTGTTTCTGAAACTTTATAAACCTCAAAGTTATTAAAACAATTTTCTTTTGGACTTAAAAAAACATTATGAACATCAGTTACTATTGAATTTTTAATATTTGAAGTCTATGGGTAAAATTAATGGAATTTTTTACTTCCGGAATCAGAGCGGACTTTGAAGTGGGCTCGTCTGTTGTCTCTTTTACTCACTTGGTTGTAAAACTAGTGTGTGCCTCATGTCTGTTCCAGGTTTATTAATGCAATCTCTTAAATCAATGCAATTTGGAAAATTTACTGTAAGCTCGTTGAATGTTGCTCTGTTAGAAGAAGTGATATAAGTAGTCATGGACCACTGTGAGTCTAAACATCCCCAAATAGGCATGTAAGCTCAAAGTACATTTTTGTGGTCTGGTTCATTTTCTACTTGTAGCTACTTGTTTTCCAGTTCTGTTGCATTTTCGGCCATTCCCCAAAGATGAAATTAACATGTTCTACCTCTTCTCTTTATAATACAAACCTTTACTGTATTAACAAACTGGTGATCCTCAGTAGCAATTATGCTGGACTAAACACACTCACAAACCAATACTGTGCCTAATGCCACTTTGCGGGGATGGGCTGGCTCTTGCGTTAAAGACTACAGTTTGGACGACAGGGCTGTTAGCATAAGCACTGAACTTCAGGTTGTGATTGTATTCATATTTACATGTCTGCATTTTTGGCATTTTTTGTACATTTTGCTAAACAGCTGTTCTTATGGTCTTATTTTCTTAAATACTGAGCTTTGCACTGGTTGGTGTGTAGCCTACTCTTGGCTGAGTTAAACGTGTTAAATAAATAAACAGTTATGGAGCTATTTTTGTGCTGTCTTTAATTAGATTAGGCAGATCAGTCATTCACAATTCACAACTGAGATACACCTGTTTTTTCTTCTCAACTTTCCTTTTCATTGTTCTCAACTTTCTCTACTCAACTTTTTCTTTTGCTTTGCTTTATGGTAATTTTCAAGCTTAGTTTTCAGTATTTTAGCAAAACAAATCACAATATATGCTCCTCTTTACCACTGGCGTTTATCAGATTGGTCAAAAATTGGTTTGATATTGGATATTCAACACATTCAAAGACATTTAACTTGTAATACATGTCACAGATTTTTTTCAAACAACTTGTGACATCTTCATAATCCTCCAGGGTATATATCACAAGACAGTAATTATTTAAAAAAATATACTATGAGCTGATTTAGTGCATATTTGTGAATTCAACACTCATTTAACTTGGACAAAATTGTTGGTACCCCTCTGGTAAGGAAAGAAATAAACAATGGTCAGTGGTCAATGTCTTTTTAAAAAATAATTACTGTCTTTTGATATATACCCTGGATGATTATGAAGACATCACAAGTTGTTTGAAAAAAATCTGTGACATGTATTACAAGTTAAATAGCTTTTAATGTGTCAAATATGCAACATCCAATATCAAACCAATTCAACCGCGGTTAGAAAGTGGGACACATGGGGCATTTTTTGTAGTCTGGGTCAAATCAGTGGTTTAGAATAAGTCTGCTGCCATAAGTATGTTTGATTAATCTAGCACTTTACTTTTACCCTAGCTATTTATGATTTACTCTTTTAGTTTCTGTCTGAGCTTGGCAAACTTTGGAAAGTCCGTAATGATGTCACCAGAGGGCGAAGTATAGAAAGGTTGAAAGCGAAAGTAAAGCTTGCATAAGGAGAATGTGTGCTGTCCTGAAAACCCAGCTGGGGGGAAGCGGCTTTCCTCAGCTTGACAGGGTGGGTTTCATGCGCATTTACTTAAAAGAACGTCGTTTTGACAGAAGGCACAACACGTGGACGTTCGGATTGTTGAATCAGAGCTGCGGGCGAACTGAAATGTGATCTGTCTGGACAGTTTTGGAAAGCGTTTAGGCATCAACGTTTAAGGTACAAATATTCGCCTTTTGTTACAGTTTTCCTCTGTTGCTTTGGCACATTTTCCTGACCAAAACTTACCAACTAACGGACCAAGTCACTGATCCCAAACCATGTGACCTTTTACTTGCTTGTTTTTCCAAAGAGCAAACGCATCGTTTTGGGCATATTTTCTGAAACAATCTGGAAACATACACTACCAAGCAAAAGTTTGGACTCGCTCCTAATTTTCCTGTATTTGTGTCAGAACAGCCCAATTAAGAGTTAACTTTAGTTATTTACATGTACATTTATTGCTAGAACATTCATAAGTATACTAATAACACAATTTAAGCAAGTATAATGTTCAGGTAGGGATATTTCTAAGCATTTATGCATGAACGCATTTCTGGAAAGTTTAGCTAGCAACATTACCCTATCTTTTGTTTGGTTAAAACACTCAAAATATCTTTCTAAAGGGTTTCATGTCTCACAAATATTGTGTGTGGCTTTTTTGAGTTTATATGAAAGACTGATAATTTCTAGAAAGAAGCATATGTTTAGCTAATTTGAAAATTATCTGAATCTGAAGTAGTACGAAAATGGCCAGAAAACCTCAGATAAGTAAAGAAAAAAGGATTGAAATTCAGGTTTTGAAAAAAGAAGGCTATTCTACAAGACAAATTGCCCAGAAAGTTAAAGTCTCACAAAGTGGAGTTGCAAAAACATTAAAGAGATATATGAAGAAACAGGTTCACATGAAGACCGATTTCGTTCTGGTAGAAGCAGAGTCACATCTAAAGCTGAAGATAAGTTCATCAGAGTTACCAGCCTTCGAAATAGACAAAAGACAGCCCCAGAGATAAGAGCTCAGCTAAACTCTACTAGGAGCAATAATGTGTCAGTGGATACTGTGCGGCGTAGACTGCGAGAATCTGGTCTGAACGGCAGGGTAGCAGCCAGAAAACCACTCCTAAGAAAGCAGAACATAAAAAAGAGACTTCAGTGGGCAAGAGAACATAAGGATTGGACTGTAGAAGAATGGAAAACAGTTCTGTTTACAGACGAATCAAAGTTCGAAATTTTTGGATCAAAGCGGCGCAAGTTTGTTCGACGTAGGGTTGGAGAGCGTTTGAATCCTGCATGTGTTGTCCCCACAGTAAAGCATGGTGGAGGTAGCGTCATGGTCTGGGGCTGTTTTGCAGGGGGTCAGACTGGTGATCTGCACAAAGTAACAGGAATTCTAAATCAGCATGGATACCACAGTATCTTACAGAGGCATGCCATTCCCTCTGGGCTGCGTTTAGTGGGCCAGCCATTTACACTACAACAAGACAATGATCCAAAACACACCTCTAAACTGTGTCAGAGGTATCTGGCCAAGAAAGAAGATGAGGGGAAGCTCAGGGTAATGACTTGGCCAGCTCAATCCCCTGACCTTAACTCCATCGAACTTGCATGGGATGAATTGGACAGAAATGTCAAGAACAAGCAACCCACAAGTGCTGCAAACCTTTATGAGATGCTGGTGGAGGAATGGCGGAAAATTTCAAGTGACTATCTCATGTCCCTGATTGACCGAATGCCTCGAATTTGTCAAGCAGTTATTAAAGCTAAAGGAGGCTATTTTGATGAGTCGCAGATTTAGACGATTCATTAACAATATTATTTTGTCAGACACTTCAGTTTTGTTTTCAGTGTTGTTATCTATAGTTTTACAGTGATTAAAAATAAAATTTTGTTCATAATGTTGTCAATATGAACCAAACACAGAAAAAGTAGGGGTGAGTCTAAACTTTTGCCTGGTAGTGTAAATCTGGCAAATCTTTATTCACACACAACCCAAAACAATTCAGAATTTTGAAAAAATTTACTTTGTGAACAAAACACTCTTATAAAAAGGACAGTTTGTGCTTAAAGTATAAATAGGTCGTCATATTATAAATTTAGCTCTAACTGGTACTGATAAGAGAATGTTCCGTGTGGTGTGAGGGAGTCAGACTTGCAGCACCCATATCACTAAAATGTAAGAAGTATTACACAGTCATTTACTGTTTTGGCACATTTATCTGAAAATTGACAATTACAAAATGGCTCACACAGCATCCTAAGAAAAAACAGATTTTTTGTTTCCTAAACAAAATTTAATCTCAGCAAAATGCAGTTTTACATTCAGAACTGATCAGTTATTCTTCAACAGCAAATTTGACCATCAAAACTTTCTGTGCTCTTTCATTCGACAGAGCACTCAGAAGCTTTAGTCCTGCTCTTGGTAACCGCAGAGAATCACTAGTTTAGTGCAGTTTGCCATTGTCATTTAAGTCTAAATTTTGGTATAAATTCCAAAACTTGCCTGTCAGGGAGCAAATACTCAGTTCATGTTGCAAATGTGAACGTGAGTATTTTAAGCCTAACCCTCAAATCTAAATTACAAAGCAACAACAAAGTTTTTGCAGAACCTAAAACACAACAATCAACTATTTAAACACACATTTCAATTCTAAAACTCTGTCTGTGCATGCTATAGTCTGTGTCCATAATAATAATAATAATAATAATAATAATAATAATGATAAGGGAAGACAAAGGGAACCCCTTTCATTAATAATTTATTTACTGTCTGCATTATAATCCAGTCATCAGATGTAAGTGTATTCTGTGGTCACTAATAACTTTTCTTGTGGCAAGCTTTATAATGCATAAGGGCATACTGCATACTATTTGATTTGGTGAAAAAGTGTTCATAATCTGTATTATCGTGTAGTGTATACTGGTGACTCTATCTTGTCTCTGCAAGCATGCACTATACAGTGGCACGGGCATGAGGCTCCATTTTAATGTCATCATGGGCCAGTCCAGATACTGCTACCCCACAATGAATAAAGTTGTCTAAGAGGGGGTATTAGATAGTGAAAGATTTCTAATAATAATTCACATTTTTATTTAACACATGTGAATCCTGTTATTTTCTCAATAAAACACATCGGGTTTATCAAAGGGTCAGTCCATATAAAATCAGTTGCCCTCCCCAATGAGCCATCTCAGATTTGTCTGAGATTGTGGGATAGCAAATTATTTTTCTCAAATAATAATTTTGTACAGAGATAATAGTTGAATTTTCTGAAAGGATTAATTACACTTTTCCAAGTAATGTAGACACAAATAATCTCCAATTGTCTTCCCTTATAACAAGCAACTAGTGTTTAAGGCTGTTGATTTAGCCTTTCTAACAGGTGGAAAAGTACCCCAAAAATTTAAAAATAAAATTGAGCGGCAACCAAATTTGAGATTTTGGGGGCCCACAGCAACCCCCTTAATAAAGATACCCAATATTTGACAACAGATTTAGAATCTATGACCCAAAATCTACAATATTACAAATTTTCAGCTTCCTCGCTCTATTCTTTATGAAATTATGGTCTCTCATAAATGCTTATAAATTAAGGCTTCCGAAAAAGTGAGCACGGCCCCAAAATTTCAACCGGCCATAACTCAGGAACGACTGAAGGGATTGAGCTAAAATTTTAGATTTGTTCATTTGGTGATTTTAGAAATGTTTTCAGACAAATCCGAGATGGCTCATAGGGGATATTCCTTGAAAATATGGACTGACCCCAAATTAAAACATTTCGGTCACATTTACAATAAATTTTTAGTGTACCTTTTTAGTTGCTTTCAATTCAGACCAAATAATAATGCATATTTTCAACAACATATTAAACACAATGAAGCTACAAAATCGGGCAATAGTTTTGTCTTATTAGCCTATCAGGATCAGAGGTGCATAGTCAGAGTTACTCAAGTCTGTTTACCTATTTAATTTTGTAATAAAAGTTTACATCTTTACTTTTCATTTTTTCCAGACACTAAACTTTTACTCCTTATAACTGGGTAGTATATTTTACAGTGGTTGTGATTGCCTGTGTTGTGGAAAAATGTTGTTTAA